CCGTCCTGACATTTGGGGGGGGGATATATACTGTCCTGACATTTGGGGGGATATGTACCGTCCTGACATTTGGGGGGATTTGTACCGTCCTGACATTTGGGGGGGATATATACTGTCCTGACATTTGGGGGGATTTGTACCGTCCTGACATTTGGGGGGGGGGGATATATACTGTCCTGACATTTGGGGGGATATGTACTGTCCTGACATTTTGAGGGATATGTACTGTCCTGACATTTGGGGGGATTTGTACCGTCCTGACATTTGGGGGGATTTGTACCGTCCTGACATTTGGGGGGATTTGTACCGTCCTAACATTTGGGGGGATTTGTACCGTCCTGACATTTGGGGGGGGGATATATACTGTCCTGACATTTGGGGGTATATGTACCGTCCTGGCATTTGGGGGGGGATTTGTACCGTCCTGACATTTGGGGGGGGATGGGGGGGGGGGATATATACTGTCCTGACATTTGGGGGGATATGTACCGTCCTGGCTTTCGGGGGGATTTGTACCGTCCTGACATTTGGGGGGGATTTGTACTGTCCTGACATTTGGGGGGATTTATACTGTCCTGACATTTGGGGGGGATTTTATACTGTCCTGACATTTGGGGGGATATATACTGTCCTGACATTTGGGGGGGATATATACTGTCCTGACATTTGGGGGGGATATATACATGTGTATTTAGCAGATTATATTTACTAAAATAATCGCATGTCCATTTCCTGTTACAATGGGAGGTCAGATACAGTAAACGAAGCTTAGTAACACTTTGATGTGATTTGTAGATATCTCCTTTCAAGAAACGTGTTCACTGCAGCATTTGTGAGAGACGTGTTTACAAGCATATTGTAACTTCAGTTTATGTAAATGTATTGAAGTTTTACAGAACTATTCCCAGAAGTAAATTCAGTTCTGGACTGAAACACAACGCTGCTTCTGTGAGTTTTGTTAGCTAGCTGTTGGCTAACCGTTGGTAGGACATCACATATGGTATTATATATTGTACCTCTCAGATAGTCACCGTTGTCTCCAAGAAGTAAGGCCCTGAAGAAGCACGTTCTGCGAAACGCATTGACCTCTTGGACTACCCCAGACAAAGGAGTGATGTGTATGTTGTATCTTTACATTTGTTACTTCAAGGGATATACTCAATTGGGGATTTATCTCCCTAGTGTTGTTGTTTTTATCTATGTCTGTCTTTTATCATGTAATAAATTCTTTGAAATGTGAAAAGTCCATGTCTTCCTTGGTACCAGCAAAGTCCATCTTTTCCCTTCTTTGGGTTAGAAGTTAGAATGTGGTACAAATAATGGCAGCTATGTTCAATAATTTAGAATACAGGATAGGACAGTGCTGTATAAATGCATGGGCATTGCCCAGGGGACCCGGGCCCCATGATAATTTTGCATTACATCATACTTGCCAACTGTCCCGGATTTGCAGGGACAGCCACCCTTTTTACTAAGCTGTCCCGGGATGTCCAGAATTAGTCTTTAATTTATAGCGTATTTTCTTATTGTTTAACTACCAATAATTATATGTTTCATTCTATCAACTATTTATACTTTAATTCTTGAGAGTAGGCGTGTCAATTGGGGCAGTCTGGTAGGGGCCCCAGTGCATTATTTTGCCCAGGGGCCCATGATGGAATTAAAATGGCCCTGGGATAGGATACAGGATATCCCACAGGACCAGAGTTGCCTATCTATAACATTTCCCCGAGTCCCCGAATTCCCTCTATTTGTCCTGGTGGCCACTGGCAGAGCAACAGAGTGCAATGGCAAATATAAATTGTTACAGATTTCCCTTCATGCTGGAGAGATTTCCTATCACTTCCTGCTGTGTCTTCAAAACAGGAAGTGAAAGGGAAACCTCAGACAACAACCAGAAAGGGAGATTTTAAAGTTGAACTCCGGGATCAGGAAATATTGTCTAAATCCATTCATCATGGGTCTTCTTCTGGAATCTCGGTGAGCTTCGTGTATTTCCTCCAGATCTGTGCAGTCATCCAGTGTGAGATAAAAGACCACTCACTGCTGCCCCCTCTCCTTGTGCAGGGGGACTGCTCTTGTCTCCACCCCCTCCTATGGTTTTCTGTAGTGGGTGGAGTCTGCTGGACCCCTCCCACAGCTTTGCTCTCTCTACTTGTGCAGGGGGACTGGTCTTGTCTCCACCCCCCTCCTGTGGTTTTCTGTAGTGGGTGGAGCCTGCTGGACCCCTCCCACAGCTTTGCTCTCTTTGCTTGTGCAGGGGGCTGGTCTTGTCTCCACCGCCTCCTGTGGTTTTCTGTAGTGGGTGGAGCCTGCAGGGTCCCTCCCACAACTTTTTTCTCTACTTGTGCAGGGGAACTGGTCTTGTCTCCACCCCCTCCTGTAGTTTCCTGTATTGGGTGGGGCCTGCTGGGCCCCTCCCACAGCTTTGATCTCTGCACAATTCCTCCCAATGACACCAACTATGGGGCCCAATAAAACCAATGATGGGGCACGATTCCTCCCAATGACCAATATGACACCAATATGGGGCCCAATAAACCAACCCCAATGATGGAGCACAATTCCTCCCAATGACACCAACTATGGGGCCCAATAACACCAATGATGGAGCACAATTTCCTCCCAATGACACCAACTATGGGGCCCAATAACACCAATGATGGAGCACAATTCCTGCTAATGACACCAACTATGGGGCCCAATAACACCAATGATGGGGCACATTTCCTCCCAATGACACCAACTAACTATGGGGCCCAATAACACCAATGATGGGGCACATTTCCTCCCAATGACACCAACTATGGGGCCCAATAACACCAATGATGGAGCACAATTCCTGCTAATGACACCAACTATGGGGCCCAATAACACCAAAGATGGAGCACATTTCCTTCCAATGACACCAACTATGGGGCCCCAATAACACCAATGATGGGGCACATTTCCTCCCAATGACACCAACTATGGGGCCCAATAACACCAATGATGGAGCACAATTCCTGCTAATGACACCAACTATGGGGCCCAATAACACCAAAGATGGAGCACATTTCCTCCCAATGACACCAACTATGGGGCCCAATAACACCAATGATGGGGCACGATTCCTCCCAATGACACCAACTATGGGGCCCAATAACACCAATGATGGGGCACGATTCCTCCAATGACACCAACTATGGGGCCCAATAACACCAATGATGGGGCACGATTCCTCCCAATGACACCAACTATGGGGCCCAATAACACCAATTGTTTACTCCCACTGATGTCGGGGCATTTGTTACCCCCAATGTCCACAGTCCAGCCCTCCTAAATTTAAAGGACAGTAAACTGGCCCTTTGTGTAGAAAGTCTGGAGGCCCCTGGACTGAACGATTGTCATGTACTAAATGTTTCTTCTTTATTTCAAAAGTGCAAATGTATCACATAAGTTTGTGCTGAAAAATATTTCCTATTAAGGATGTTACAAATCCTTTACCTTGCGGTCAGTGAGGGACGAGGGCCCGACCCAAAAAAACCTCCACACTCGGTGTACGAATATTGCGATTATTTTATTGATAAACGATTACAATAATACAGATGATTGATAGACGGGACACCGGCATGGAGGATCTACAAACCATCAATGGGGGACAACAATGTCATACAGGAGTCCCGATCCCAAAACAACATCTAAGTCTAGGTCCGGGGAGAGCGGATATAGTGAATGCGGGGTCCGGGGAGAGCGGATATAGTGAATGCGGGGTCCGGGGAGAGAGCGGGTATAGTGAATGCGGGGTCCGGGAGAGCGGGATATAGTGAATGCGGGGTCCAGGGAGAGCGGATATAGGAATGCGGGGTCCGGGGAGAGCGGATATAGTGAATGCGGGGTCCGGGGGAGAGCGGATATAGTGAATGCGGGGTCCGGGAGAGCGGATATAGTGAATGCGGGGTCCGGGGAGAGCGGATATAGTGAGATGCGGTGGTCCGGGGAGAGCGGATATAGTGAATGCGGGGTCCGGGGAGAGCGGATATAGTGAATGCGGGGTCCGGGGAGAGCGGATATAGTGAATGCGGGGTCCGGGGTGAATGCGGAGAGCGGGTATATAGTGAATGCGGGGTCGGGTGAGAGAGCGGTATAGTGAATGCGGGGTCCGGGGAGAGCGGATATAGTGAATGCGGGGTCCGGGTGAGAGCGGATATAGTGAATGCTGGGGTCCGGGGTGTGAGAGCGGTATATAGTGATTATATACTCGGCGGGGTCCGGGGAGAGGGGGGAGTGGGGATTATAGTGGAATTGCGGGGTCCGGAGGAGAGCAGATATAGTGAATGCGGGGTCCGGGGATGAGCGGATATAGTGAATGCGGGGTCCGGGGAGAGAGCGGATATAGTGAATATGCGGGGGGGTCCGGGGAGAGCGCGGGGGTGTATAGTGAATGCGGGGTCCGGCTGGGAGAGCGGATATAGTGAGCGGATGCGGGGTCCGGGGAGAGCGGATTATAGTGATTGCGGGGGTCCGGGGAGAGCGTGATATACTGAATGCGGGGTCCGGAGAGAGCAGATATAAGTGAAATGCGGGGTATTCCGGGGAGAGCGGATATAGTGAATGCGGGGTCCGGGGAGAGCGGATGTGAAATGCGGAGGAATGCGGGGTCGGTGGGGAGAGCGGATATAGTGAATGCGGGGTCCGGTGAGAGCGGATATAGTGAGATATGCGGGGTCCGGGGAGAGACGCGATATAGTGAATGCGGGTCCGGGGAGAGGGGATTATAGTGAATGCGGGGTCCGGAGGTTCTAGAGAGCGGATTATAGTGAATGCGGGGTCCGGGGAGAGCGGGCATTTATAGTGAATGCGGGTGTCTCCGGGACGGGATATAGCGGTATAGTGAATTGCAGGGTCGGGGAGTTGATATAGTGAATGCGGGGTTCCGGGTGAGAGCGGATATAGTGAATGCGGGGTTTCCCGGGGATATGAGAGCGGGGTCCGGGGATATTAGTGAATGCGGGGGTCCGGGGAGAGCGGATTATAGGGATTATGCGGGGTCCGGGGAGAGCGGATAGATATAGTGAATGCGGGGTCCGGGTGAGAGCGGATATAGTGAATGCGGGGGTCCGGAGAGCGGAATATAGTGAATGCGGGGTCCGGGGATGAGAGCGGATATAGTGAATGCGGGGGTCCGGGGAGAGCGGATATAGTGAATGCGGGGTCCGGGGAGAGCGGATATAGTGAAATGCGGGGTCCGGAGAGAGCGTGGTATAGTGAATGCGGGGTCCGGGGAGAGCGGATATAGTGAATGCGGGGTCCAGGGAGAGAGGGATATAGTGAATGCGGGGTCCGGGAGGGTGAGAGCGGATATGGTGATGACTGCGGGGTCCGGGGGAGAGCGGGGGTTATAGTGATATGCTGGGGGTTTTGACCAGGGAGAGTGGATATTAGTGAATGCGGGGTCACGAGGGATGAGCGTGGAGAAGCGGTCTAGATATAGTGAATGCGGGGTCCGGGAGAGTGGATATAGTGAATGCGGGGTCCAAGGAGAGCGGATATAGTGAATGCGGGGGTCCGGGGGAGAGCGGATATAGTGAATGCGGGGGTCCGGGGAGAGCGAGAGGCGGATATAGTGAATGCGGGGGTCGGGGTAGAGCGGATATAGTGAATGCGGGGTGTCCGGGGAGAGCGGATATAGTGAATTGCGGGGTCCGGGGAGAGCGGATATAGTGAATGCTGGGGTCCGGGGAGTGAGAGCGGGAGATATAGTGAATGCGGGTCCGAGGGCAGAGAAGCGGATATAGTGAATGCGGGGTCCGGGGAGAGCGGAATATAGTCTGATATGCGGGGTCCGGAGGAGAGCGGATTATAGTGAATGCGGGGGTCCGGGGGTAGAGCGGATATAGTGAATGCGGGGTCCTGGGAGAGACGATGCGGATATAGGAATGCGGGGTACCGGGAGAGAGCGGATATAGTGAATGCGGGGTCCGGGAGAGACTGGATATAGTGAATGCGGGGTCCGGGTGAGAGTGGGTGGATATAGTGAATGCGGGGTCGGGGAGAGCGGAAATAGTGAATGCGGGGTCGTCCGGGTCCGTGAGAGAGCGGATATACGTGAATGCGGGGTCCGGGGAGAGCGGATTATAGTGAATGCGGGGTCCGGGGGAGAGGATTTATAGTGAATGGCGGGGTCCGGGGAGAGAGTGGATATAGTGAATGCGGGGTCCCGGGAGAGCGGGTATAGTGAATGCGGGGTTCCGGGTTAGAGAGCGGATATAGGTGAATGCGGGGGTCCGGGAGAGCGGGGTAGTATAGTGAATGCGGGGTCCAGGTGGGAGAGTGGATATAGTGAATGCGGGGTCCGGGGAGAGCGGATATAGTGAATGCGGGGGTCCAGGGGAGAGAGTGGATATAGTGAATGCGGGGTCCGGGGAAGGAGAGCGGATATAGTGAATGCGGGGGTCCGGAGGAGAGCTATTTGAATATAGTGAATGCGGGGTCTCCGTGGTCAAAGGAGAGCGGAATATAGTGATCATGCTGGGTCCGGGAGAGCGGGCAGTGATATAGTGAATGAGGGGTCCGGTTAATATGACTGATCAGAGCTTGGATATAGAGTCTCTTTGGAATGCGGGGTCGGGGGAGAGAGGCTTGATATAGTGAATGAGGGGTCCCGGGGAGAGCGGATATAGTGAATGCACCGGGAAGGTTTTTGGTCCGAGGAGGGCTGGGATATTGTGAATGCGGGGTTCCGGGGAGAGGGATTATAGGGAATGCGGGGTCCGGGGGGCGGATTATAGGGAATGCGGGGTTTTTTGAGGAGCGGATATAGTGAATGCGGGGTCCTGGGAGAAGAGCGTGATATAGTGAATGCGGGGGGGTATAGAAGGGGGTTCCGGTGTGTGTGGAGATATAGTGAATGCGGGGTCCGGGGTGAGAGTGGATATAGTGAATGAAAGCGTGGTCCGAGAAGGAGAGTGGAATAGTGATATGCGGGGGGTTGTCCGGGGGAGAGCGGATATAGTGGCGGGTGCGGGGTCCCCCCACGGGTGAGAGCGGATATAGTGAATGCAGTGGGTCCGGGGAGTTTTGGCGGATATAGTGAATGCGGGGGTCCGGGGGAGAGTGGATGGGTGTTTGTTTGTTTTGGGGGGGAATGCGGGTGTCCGGGGAGAGCGGGATACAGTGAATGCGGGGTCCGGGGAGAGAGGGGGGGTATAGGAATGCGGGGGGTTGGGAGAGAGGTGCGGATTTATAGTGAATGCGGGGTCCGGGGAGAGCGGATATAGTGTGAATGCGGGGTTGGGGGGTTCCGGGGGAGAGCGGGATATAGTGAATACGGGGTCCGGGGAGAGTGGATATAGTGATGTGCGGGGTCCGGGGAGAGCGGATATAGTGAATGCGGGGGTCGGGGGAGAGAGCGGATGATATAGTGAATGCGGGGTCCGGGGAGAGCGGATATAGTGAATGCGGGTCCGGGGAGTTTGAGTGGATATAAGTGAATGTGGGGTCCGGGGTTTTTTGTAACACTGTAAGCGTTTGGGTGAGGGGGGGGTTGGGTGGCGACATACTTAGTCACATACCAGCCAAGTCCTCCCACTCACGCATTTCATCCCCTACTGGGAACTATTGCAAATTAAAGGGTTTGTTTCACCTTTATGAAAATACCTAAAGATTAAAACAAACTGCGCAGTTTGACTAAAGTTGAATAACGCCCTTGATGGAACCATTAATATACCTCTCAAAAGCTTGGCTGAAAAACTTCCAGAGATAGCGTCATCCTATCTTGACTTGTTGCTAGGATGTTGCTATGACACTCCCAGCTGTTACTCCTTGCCCCCACCATCACAGGAGCGAATTCTCAATCACCTGCCTATGTGTGGTCCATTATCTCCTCCAACACAGCTTTCCTAAGCTCAGAGTTACTGCGACAGGGGAGAGCGCATGTCAGGAGGGTTGAATCAGCTGGAAGTGTCTTAGCAATGTCCTAGCAATAGGGCAAGATGGGATGATGACCATAATTGGGAGTTTTTCCACCAGGCTTCAGGAGGTACACTACATTGCCAAAAGTATTGGGCGCCAGCCTTTCCACACACATGACCTTTAATGGCCCCCCAGACTTAGTCCGTAGGGTTCAATATTGAGTTGGCCCCGCCCTTTCCACACATGACCTTTAATGGCCCCCCAGTCTTAGTCTGTAGGGTTCAATATTGAGGTGGCCCCACCCTTTCCACACACATGACCTTTAATGGCCCCCCAGTCTTAGTCCGTAGGGTTCAATATTGAGTTGGCCCCGCCCTTTCCACACATGACCTTTAATGGCCCCCCAGTCTTAGTCTGTAGGGTTCAATATTGAGGTGGCCCCACCCTTTCCACACACATGACCTTTAATGGCCCCCCCAGTCTTAGTCCGTAGGGTTCAGTATTGAGTTGGCCCCACCCTTTCCACACACATGACCTTTAATGGCCCCCCCAGTCTTAGTCTGTAGGGTTCAATTCATATTGAGGTGGCCCCCCACCCTTTCCACACACATGACCTTTAATGGCCCCCCCAGTCTTAGTCCGTAGGGTTCAGTATTGAGTTGGCCCCGCCCTTTGCAGCTATAACAGCTTCAACTCTTCTGGGAAGGTCGTCCACACAGTTTATACAGTTTATATTTCAGACTTTTTAATAAATTAGAGTCAGTAATACTACCATGTTGTGTACACATTTATAATTTTGGTATAGTGTGTATGTCCTTTCATTTGGATTTAACATGGAACACACAAATATTAACCAACGTGATGCTTGATGAGATTGTCGAGGCCTCCTACTGTGACAATGGATATCGATGTCAGCCTGGAATGGGACTATAGCACTTGAGGGGTTGGGTGGCATTCTGGGCTCATATTGTGGTAATAGAGGCCTTTGTTTTTAATCTGGGCACACACTGAACCACTAGGGGTTTATAGGTGGTGGTCTGGCCCCATTCCTTGGCATTAAAAGAGGTTGGGTGGAGGTATGGGCACATGATGAGGCGCTGAAGGAGTTGCATGGTGGGCTGAGCACACACTGGTTGTCAGGGGGTTTGGGCTCATATTATAGCTTTGGAGGGGTTGAGTGGTGATCTGGACACCTAGTTGTGCACTGGAGAGCTTGGGTGGTGGTCTGGGAATATGTAGTGTGGCACAAGAAGGTTTGAATGGTGGTCTGGCCTCATTTTGTGGCACTGGAGGAGTTGGGTGGTGGTCTGAGGACACATTATGTGTGTTCTCTTTCCTGGTAGTTTAGACCTATACCCTACCACTGGAGGGATTGGATGGTTGTATGAGCACATAGTGTGGCACTGGAGCAGTCACTAGAGTTGGTTGGTGGTCTGGGCACACACTGTGGCACTGGAGGAGTTTGAAGGTGGTCTAGGCACATACAGTAACTTTGAAGGGGTTGGCTGCTGGTCTGGGCACACATCAGAGCACTGGATGAGCTGGGCAGTGTTCTGGGGACATACTTAATAGTAGAAGTGTTGGGTGGTAGTTTGGCCCAATTCTATGAAACAAAATGTGTTAGGTGGTGGTCTGGGCATACATTGTGGAAGTCAGTGTCAGCACCCTAGGTTTCCATTTATGGTCCTGGAGTAGTTAGATGCAACCTAAACATAAAATGGTGCACTCTGGGTAGATAGGCGGCAGGTTCAGGCTGGTGGTGGTGGTGTCATGGTGTGGGGGATCCATATTGCCTTGTAAGAAACAGTTCAGGCTGGTGGTGGTGGTGGTGTCATGGTGATGGGGGATCCATATTGCCTTGTATCAACGGTTCAGGCTGGTGGTGGTGTCATGGTGTGGGGGATCCATCCTGCCGTGTATCAACGGATCAGGCTGGTGGTGGTGGAGTCATGGTGTGGGGGATCTATCCTGCCTTGTATCAATGGTTCAGGCTGGTGGTGTCATGGTGTGTGGGGGATCCATCCTGCCTGGTATCAACGGTTCAGGCTGGTGGTGTGTCATGGTGTGGGGGGATACATCCTGCCTTGTATCAACGGTTCAGGCTGGTGGTGGTGGTGTGTCATGGTGTGGGGGATACATCCTGCCTTGTATCCACGGTTCAGGCTGGTGGTGGTGGTGTCATGGTGTGGGGGATCCATCCTGCCTTGTATCAATGGTTCAGGCTGGTGGGTGGTGGTGTGTCATGGTGTGGGGGATACATCCTGCCTTGTATCAACGGTTCAGGCTGGTGGTGTCATGGTGTGGTGGATCCATCCTGCCTTGTATCAATGGTTCAGGCTGGTGGTGGTGGTGAGTGTCATGGTGTGGGGGATCCATCCTGCCTTGTATCAATGGTTCAGGCTGGTGGTGGTGGTGTCATGGTGTGGGGGGAAGCCATCCTGCCTTGTATCATCGGTTCAGGCTGGTGGTGGTGGTGTCATGGTGTGGGGAGCCATCCTGCCTTGTATCAACGGTTCAGGCTGGTGGTGGTGGTGTCATGGTGTGGGGGAGCCATCCTGCCTTGTATCAATGGTTCAGGCTGGGTGGTGGTGTCATGGTGTGGGGGAGCCATCCTGCCTTGTATCAACGGTTCAGGCTGGGTGGTTGGTGGTGGTGTCATGGTGTGGGGGAGCCATCCTGCCTTTGTATCAACGGTTCAGGCTGGTGGGTGTCATGGTGTGGGGGAGATCTTCTTGGTACTATCGAGGTGGACCTAATCAAGTGGCCGGAGAGTGTATGTAGTCATTGAGATGACTGTCAGAGACTGCAGACCTGATAGAGGAAATTTATATTAATAAATGAATGAGGGTCAGAGGAGTGAGGACAGGAGCCATTGTTGGCTGGAGATATGCTGAAGAAGACAATAGAAAACTGGAAACATTTTGAGGCTGGTAGACATCAATGCTATTACCTTCATCAGTGTTCTTGTTACAGACAGCTGAGGTCCGCACATCATATACCAAAGGGCCACATGTGGCCCTCAGCCGCAGGTTTGGGCACCCAGGGGGCTAAATGCAATTCCCCGAGCACCCCGTGATGGCCATTCGGAACGTGGCAGGTAAATATAACCCACAAGGCCATTAACCAAAAGCAGAAAAAATGAGCGGGGAACCTTCTTGGAGGAGCGCCCAGCCGCAGCCCCTCAGGAGGGGGTACTAGTTAGGCCCGGGCACAGAGGAGTTAACCAGCAGTCACGATGGCAGACGCAGGCAGATTACTCATTCTTGAGAAGAGGCTGCTCTGTCTAAACTTTTCAATAATTATCAGGAGGGAGCAGAGAGGGAGAGAGCAGAGTTATTAAAAAATTCATGTGCACAGCTTGGTGCTGCAGCAGATGTTGGTATAATTTAGAGAGGAAAAAAAATTATGAAATTAATTTCTGGTTCAGTGTAAATTTCAGCGCTGGGGGAGAAGAGGGGGGAGCGGAGCTCATGTATACAGAGAGTGTGGCACCAGGGAGGCAGCGCACACACATCCAGGCGCACACACGCACGCACACACTCATCACCAGCTGCCAGGGAAGCGGTAATTGTCAGAAGATATCCAGGGGAGACGGGGAGAGAGGAGAGAGAGAGCCTGGCATAAAATATTACCATGTATTATTCATCCACTACTTAAAGGCGCAGGCGAGGCAAACGCGCGCCCCGTCGTTCAGTGCAAAAAGAAGATGCAACCATCAAGGGAGGATCAAACCAGAGGAACGGAAGAAAGAGACGCTGCGGAGAGAAATGCGATGAAACCCGGGGGTACAAAGACACGCGGCGCAAAAAAAAAAAAAAAATTGAAGGTCAGGAAAAATAAAAGTAGATCTGAACCTTCGCTGAATGACATTCGGATTGCCAAAGCAATCTTTTTTTTTTTATACATTTTATAAGATGCAGTTTCCTCTTT